GACCTGCGCACGGCCTGCACAGATCAGCTTGGCACATGATCCAACCTGGCAACCCATAAGACGCCCACCGATGAACCATAACGGCATACCTCGCGAGCTCGGTAGCTCACCAAGGAGCTCGCCAAGGAGCTCGGTAGCTCACCAAAGAGCTCGCCAAGGAGCTAGGCAGCTCTCCAAGGAGCTCACCACCAAGGAGCCAGGCAGCTCGGCAAAGCTCGCCACAAGCAGCTCGGCATAGCCCAAGGAGCTCGGCATAGCTCCCCCGGGTTTCTCGCTACTTGTAGGGTAGCTCGGTACAAAAGAATAGTTTGGCGTATCGCAGGAAGATCTCCTACTTGACAACCTGGCCCAGACACCGACCCGCCGGCTAATACAGATGCCGACCTGACAACCTGGCCCAGACACCGACCCGCCGACTGACTCAGGCGCCGACCTGACAACCTGGCCCAGGCGCCGACTTGGCCGCCTGACACAAGCGCCAGCCTGACAACCTCGAGGAGTTCACCACCGTACCCCGGTTCTGACGGGATATGACGAGTCTTACCGTTTGAAGGCTTTTCACCCACCTAAACCGCGAGGACACCACTATATAAGGACTCCGACCCCCAAAGCCAAGGGGGGGGGGGAAGGATGGTAACCCCTGCTCTCTAGCTCTCTCATTTCTCTCCAAGCTCTCTGTAATAAAAATGCTAACTTAGGCATCAGAGAGTCCCTGCTGGGAAAATACCCCCGGGTCCTCTGATTCAGTTCTCGCAGGTCCCTCAGCTCCCGCCGCCTACAAAGGAGAGGAAATCACCTCATGCAGAGGGCAGTCGGGTTGTACTGCACCAGGGAGCTCCACCATCCTCTGAGTTGCAGGCCGCCTAGGAGCAGGTCAAATGACGAGTCCACCAGGCAGTTCGCCACCAGGGAGTTCGCCACCAAGTAGCTCTCCACCAGGGAGCTCGCCACCAAGTAGTTCGCCACCAGGGAGCTCGCCACCAGGGAGCTCGCCACCTGGGAGTTCACCACCAAGCAGTTCGTCCCCAAGTAGCTCTCCACCAGGGAGCTCGCCACCAGGTAGTTCTCCACCAGGGAGTTCGCCATCAAGTAGCTCATCGCCAAGGCACATCACCACCGGGTCAAATAACGAAGTACTTAACCAAAAAAATTTATACATCACAAAAAATTGGTACGTGACCAGAAACGATTACATCAGAAACCAAATGCATACTGCTTGACCAATCGGTATGGATATTAACTTGGCTCTGTGGAATAGGAGCAAGCTGGCAATAGATGCAAGATTGAGTCTGATTAGAGAGATCAAGAAAGTTGAAAGCACAAGACACAATACCTCACGTAATCCGTCTATTTGAACAAGCAAAAGCAACTCTATTTACAGATTCTATTCTCCTTTTGTAACATAATGACAACAATGCAAGAATGAATGACAAAATACTCAGGGATGGGAGCACCATTGCATGCTTTTTGAATCGATCCACAATATTGATCAAGATTCTAGCCTATGTTGTGTTTGTTGGTCAATCGTTTGTCATCGAGACGGGATTGAGAACTACCCAAAGTCCATAACATCACACAAGGATAAACCTAGCTACTTGGGAAATTTTGTGCAAAATGCAGATGTGCTTTGGGGTGCACCGCATTCGTCGTTGATCCCAAATTGGTATTGGGGTGCCGCTATTTCACCCTCCCTCCTTCCTATTCTGGTTAGAGGTATCGTCGTTTCCCCCTCCCTTCTTCCTCTTCTGCTTAGAAGAAATAATGAACAATGTCTTTATTAGTTCAGAATCTCAAATACCTTAATCGGTTCAGTCTTAAGGTAGAAGACAATGAACAATGTCTTCTTTTGAATGGTGGTTTTGATATTTTTAAAAAGAGAAAATTCCTGATTAGTACTCTGTATTTTGTTTTGAGTGACAATTTGGTCTCCAAACTTTAAAATGCGACAATCCAATATCCGAACTTTCAAAATGTTTGTACTTTGGCTCGATTGACAATTTGGTCCCCAAACTTTAAAATGTGACGATCCAATACTCAAACTTTCAAAATTTGACAATCCAATACCCAAACTTTCAAAAATGTGACAATCCAATACCTGCCATTAACTAGTCCGTTGATCAGCCATTAAGTGTCATTTGAAAAGTAAAAAATGCCCTAAGAATGCAATCTAATTGTCTTTATCAAGCATCCAAACATTGGCAATAAAATCAACAGTCCCAAATTTTAGATTCTTCTAAACAATCACCAACTTTTTTGAATAGAAGAGACTAGGATTTGGAACTATTTAAATTTGTGTCAATGTTTAGATGGTTCATGAAGAGAATTAGATGCCATTCGAAGATCATATTTAACTTTTCAAATGTCACTTAACAGTTAATTAACGGGCTACTTAACGATAGGTATTAAATTATCACATTTTGAAAGTTTGGGTACTAGATTATCGCATTTTAAAATTTGAGACCAAATTATCACTTGAGCGAAAGTACAAGGTATTAATTGGAAAATTTCCCTTTTAAAAATTTTAAGTTAGGTAACTGACGGTAACAACACGCAGTTTGGGTACAAAAATTTTAAGTTAGGTAACTGACGGTAACTGACGGTACCCAAATTTTAAGTTTGGGTACAAAAACTCTAGCGCAAGCCCGGGCCGGGCTGAAAAATGATCACTCCAGTGGTCCGGTCAGAGGACTCTTTTGACCTCTATCTTTCCTATTTATAGATATTGATAATATGGATTTACCGCTGAGAAACCCTAATCTCTGATTCGCTTCGTTTCTTCGAAACCTCTATTGTCTTCCGAGTAAGGAGCAACAATGGTGGCGGTGAAGAAGACGGTATGGTCCTCTGTATCGCTATTCGTTATTTGGTTCCATGTTTCCGTCGCTTAATCCTCTCTGAATGATTTTTACAGAAGAAGACTCATGAGAGCATCAACAACAGACTCGCACTCGTGATGAAGAGCGGAAAGTACACGCTTGGATACAAAACCGTTCTTCGGACCCTAAGAACCTCGAAAGGTGGATTCTCATTTCCTAGCTTTTTTCTCCTTCTGTGTTTTTTTTTCATTGTGCAAATAAATGGAGACGTTTATCTGTTTTTGTTCTTCATTTCTTTTAAAGATTTGGGTTGTTGATTCAAATTTTTGGGTATTTGCAGCAAAACTGATAATTATTTCAAACAATTACCCACCTCTGCGGAAGTCCGAGATTGAGTACTATGCAATGCTTGCCAAGGTTGGCGTCCACCATTTCAATGGAAGTAAGTGGTTTCGCTTACTGATTAATTGCGTAAATCTGAATAAATGTCATTAAGCCATTCTATGCCCTTCATCTTAATGTGCCTGCCTTTTGTTTATTTTTATTTTACCTTTTCCCATCTATTCCATTTGGCGCTATACTTCTTTTTGAGGTCGCTCAAATTAGCCGTCGTTATATGTTTTTAATTTTCTCTTACAACCTTGTTTGTTTCTTGCTTAATGTACTAGAGGGATGCGCCACTAATTCCTATATCACTAGTGTACAGTGCTTGAATCTCCATGAAATGATCCTGTAGCAGAAGTCAGTGGTAGCTAAAGACTTGATTTCTCCTTATCTGGTGTTTCTTGTTTAATGATTTTTTAGCTAGGTTATTGTCACTGAGTTATACTTCGTTGAGCTTATTGCCAAAATAATAACATTTTTTTTTCTGAAAAGGTATCAAAGTAACAACTTTTACCCTAACACTTAGTCACTTATTCGAAGGATTTAATGTCTGAATGTTCGAGGGTGAACTTTGGCAGTTACAGATCAAAAGATGAAAATAACAAAGTTAAAAGTACTTTCGCCACTTGTAGACAAATGATCGAATGAAGTATAACATATATTTTCCTTTTCCCATCAATTTGGTTAACATATATTCGAATTGGATTGATCTGCTCCACGTACCTCACCTAATATGTGGGTATCTGGAAATCATGTTAATGGAATACATTTCAGTTCATAACAGACCTGTTTTAGATGACAAATTTATCATTTAAATTTAAGAAAAGTTAATGACATGGTTTCATGCCATATGTCTGAAACTGAACTGTTTCAAGCACACATATAGCGTGCAATAAAGCAGCAGATTTCTTTTTAACATGAGACACAGTTTGACTACTAGATTCAAGGGCAGCCTGAACAATGAAGTTTTAGATAGGATACTTTTGGTGATATCTGGGGTTGCACTATATCTTTGCCCTCTCTGGTGCTTCTGTCCTCATGTACCACAAAATAGAGTTACTCTTTCATCCGTGCAACAAGTAAACTCTATGAGAATCCTAGGTTATAGCTTTACTTCACAAGTAAGTTTGGACTACTAATCATTGTAATGGTGCTTCATTGTCAAGGAAAAGATTCTATAAAACCAAACATAGCCTACCTGAGAGTAGTGTTGGGGAAAGCTCACTTAAATAAGGCTATTTCCAGGAGAAGGCTTGCTTTACCCATCTGAGGTCAAGATGGATAAATTTGTTCAGTCATATTCATATAAAAAGGCACTTCTAGGGTCATCTATAGTATAGGCTAATGTTAGAAATGGGGTGATTGATTGTCTGGGTTCCTTCCCCTCTGGAGTTTTGTTCCTTTTATGACTTTCTTTTTGCTATAGAATTAGAAAAATGTTGTTCTTATAAATTGAGCTTTTTCCATAATATTATACAAACAATTTTTTTCACACAAATGGTGTCTTGCTCCATTCATCATTTATCCTTTTGCAAATCGTGCAGTCTCTAACAGCTTATTATGGGCAAGGATTAGAGCCACTACTACACCTAAAAGTGTCCTAAAGAAATCTTATCAGGTTCCTCCCTGTGAATTCAAAGTTCATGTCATGCAGTTGTACTTAAAAATGATTTATTATGCACATTATAGGGTCACCAAAAGGTTTGGCTATTTACCTTTATAGTGGTGATGCATAAACTTGTGGTTTCACATGTGAAAATACTTATTAGGACATTCTTTTGGCATATCCCAACTATTATATAATCATAATACATTTGGGTTATCAAGGATGATTCTGTCTGTGTAAATTGCTTTTGGTGACATGTCCCAGACAGCCTAAATTAGAATTAATGCATGAAGTTAACTACTTTAAGGCTTTTACCATGAATTCTACATCTGCATTGGATGAGATAGGCACACCAACTTAATTCTGTGATTGGGGTGACATTTTCTGGAAGTCTATTCTATTTTTAAAATGGGTGCATATTATTTTCAAATTTGCAATTCTTGGTAATGAATTCTATACATAAAATAATGAGGCTAAGAGTTGTTGCAAATGGTTGAAAACATTGTGTTGTGTCCTGTTTTATTTGTTCTCCAGACAATGTTGACCTGGGCACAGCTTGTGGAAAATATTACCGTGTGTCATGCCTCAGCATTATTGATCCAGGTGCGGCAACTATTCTTTTATTGAACTACACTTTGCCATGGGATTTCCATCCTGACTTTCTGCCAACTTGTTTCTTCCTGCAGGCGATTCTGATATCATCAAAACATTGCCTGGTGAGCAGTGAGAGTAGTAGGGGATGGATCCCTTTGTCATTTCCAACCAGATAGGATGGTCATGCTTATTGGAGTATTTTTTATTAGATAATTTGTTGAAGTGCGGTTTCTCATGTTTCCTTTGAGAAACAGTTTGGTGAATGAGAAAGGTTCTTGTATATTACCAATTTTGGCTAGTGGATTTGGAAATCTGTGTTGAGACATGATTATGGTATTTCAACTAAGCTCCATGTCGCCTCTTATTCTTTGGTTTCTTTCTACATGGTTCTTTGCTGACGTGCACCAGGGGAATTGCCTGAGTTGTCGCAGGTCTAACCGACGTGGTTTATTTTGGAAGCACCAACTAACCCAACCGGTGCCTTTAATGAGAACCTGGACATTAGTTTTACAGAAACAGAGTAGATAGTTTTGCGCTAACTTAAAATGTGGGTACTATGTTACAAACTTACAATTTCACGGTGGAGAAATCACCACTTCGGGGCACAGATCGTGCTATGATGATAGTGATTTGAATGATTAGCGGTTGATATGTTCAATGAATCACTGCCACTTTTTTGTCATGAATTAAGCTTTTAACAACAATTGAAAAATTTTCGGTTATCCAAAAGCCCGACTTATTCTAGGAGGGAGTTCGCAGAATTGATATGGAAGAAGTGAATGTCTCCTATATTTCTTGGTTGAATTGTTCCTGCATTGCAAAAAATTTTACATTTGGAAAAAGATAACCTGGCTTTCATTTTATATCCATGTTTGGATGTGAAAATGTAAATGCATCGTTGAAATGGTTGTCTTTGCATTTGTAAGAATTTATCCTCTGTAGTTAACCAAGCATTAAGACAAGTACTCTTAATATATTTAAGAAGAATCTTTTAATTATTGATGTATAATTCAGAAAAGATACAAAACGGAGGGGGGCTTTAAAGGGGTGTTCCATAATATGGTTGATTTTGTTTTTGAAAACAAAAACAATATAATTATTGATGTAGCAGTTAGAATTAAATTTGTTTTTGGGTAAATTTTCAAAACAAGGTCAAGTGGTCAACCATAAAAAACACAAAGAAATGGCAAAAATAAGAAAAATATGTATATTTTTTGGTAGAGGTAAAAACGGTTTTTTTTTTGAAAGCCAAAGAGAGAACTGGTTTTCTACTTTGAATTATCACCTCTCACATTGTCTTTGAATGATTTTCGCATCATTAGAAGCAAAACTGGCAGGCCTACCCTGGAAAGAATTAAATTCTAAAATTACAAAGAATCCTCATTAGCTGCCCAACTTAAACTTCTGAGTACATCCTTCACCTCTTCTATCCTGAAATGAGAAAAATCCCCTACTGTAAATTTTTCTATGGTCCCCTTAATTTCAATCAAGCTATGGCCGGGCTCTTTCTTAACCCCACTGCCCTTCAACATCTTCCTAGCCTCAGCAACACCTTCCCACCTCCTATCTGAAGCATATAAGTTGGACAAAAGCACATAGGGTGAACTAGTCACAGGTTGAAGATCTAGAATTCGGCCAGCCACTCTCTCGCCAGCCACAACATCCCCATGCAATCGACATGCAGAAAGCAAGCTCCCCAGAGCAACCGTGTCATTCTCGAAACAAAATCTGTCCATGTACCATTCGGCCTCCTCCAGTCTCCCAGCCCTCCCTAATAGATCAATCAGGCAAGACAAATGTTCTACCTCAGGGTAAATCCCATAAACTTCTTTCATGGAATTGAAGTAGCTCTTGCCTTGTTCCACCAATCCTGCATGATTGCAAGCTGTAAGAAGTCCAATGAATGTTATCGAATCTGGCTTTATATCCATTTCCTTCATCTGCTCAAACAATTCTAGAGCTCTTTTGCCTAGTCCATGATTTCCATATCCGGCTATCATGGTGTTCCATGAAACAAGGTTGTGGTCGAACATTTGATTGAAGACAGTTTCTGCATATACTATGGAGCCGCATTTGGCGTACATGTTGACAAGGGCATTACCCACTCCCACATCCTGATTCAACCTTGTTCTCATCAAGTGAGCATGAACCTGACCACCATGGCGGATTGAAGCTAGACCTGCACAAGAAGCAAGTACGCTTGCAAACGTGAAATCATCAGGTTTTACATCAATGGCTCTTCCCATCTCTCTAAATGTTCTCAAACCCTTGGCATGATCTTCGCATTGAGAACAAGCAGCAATAAAGGTGTTCCATGAAATTGCATCTTTTTCTTCTATTGATTCAAAAGCCTTGTTTGCCTCTTCAATTAAGTTGCATTTTGAGTACATGATTAGAATCGCATTGCCAATAGATGGGGTAGTGTCAAGCCCAAGCTTAACCGTCAGGCAATGGAATTCCATTCCTCTCCACAAGTTTCTGACATCAGAACAGATTGTTAATACACCCATGAAGGTAAAACGATCCATGCTAATACCACTTCCATGCATGAATTTGAATACCTCGAAACTTCCTTGTGGTTGCATATTTTCTGCAAAACCTGTGATCATTGCATTGTAAGAGACAGAAGTAGGTTCTGATATGCTGGTAAAGATGGTCAATGCATCATTGCAGAGGCCGCACTTCATGTACAATGAGATGAGCGCATTAGAAACAAAAGAAATAGGCATATGGCCAGATTTCAGCGATCGGGCATGAACCTGTTTCCCCTGTGCAAGTGCCAAGAGGCTGGCACAGGCATTAATAACGCTAGCATAAACATACTCGTTGGGCTCATTTTGCATCATGGAGAAGAGATTAAGCGCCATTGAAGGCTCCCCAGCTTGGTCATATCCAGAAATCAAAGCTGACCAGGACACGAGGTTTCTTTCGGACATTTCGTCGAACACACAACGAGCGGCGACAACATCTTTACACTTGGCATACATATTGAGGACATGGTTGGAGAGAAAGACGTCTGATTGAAACCCAGACTTGATGAATGAAGCGTGTAGAGCCAGACCACGGTGAAGAGCCTTGCTCTTGGAGCAATAGTGCAGAAGCAAAGCCAGGTTCTGAACTTGAGGTTGAGGTATCATCTCCAGTTCTACGCAAACAAACGATGGCCACAGCCATTAGAATTCCGACTAATCTTCTATTCCAGACGTTCCAACCTTTGTAGACTTTGAACCCACATGCACACAATGTCCATGGATCCATCCATGCATATTGTGTACAGCTTCTACTAACGTACGCCCCTCCGGCCTCTTCAGAGTTCAGACATTTCGTTATTCGTTGTGAAAATACGTAGGAAGTTATTACATTCACATAGATGTAGAACGTCTATTTGTTGTATTGCAGTAGGATCCTACGGTGCTGAACTTATCATGTTTTCTTATGGTGTAGACGATGATGAACCGGGGCCCACCATAGCAGACATGTCTTCTAATATCCTTTACGTCAAACGCACAAGATGTCTATGGTGTACGATGCTGGTTAATCCACTAGAACAGAGGAGCTTACGTTGGAATAGGTGCGCAGTGCGCACTGCTCAATGGGCGTTAGTGGTGTGGGGATCTGAAAGTTGAAACTCTCTTTTTCCATTGCTATAAGCAAATGAACAGCTTAAGTAAAATATAAAATTCATCAATCAAAACCCTCTTAAGAGTTAAGAGTCCAGACCCCTCCGCAACTCTCAGGCTATCTCCCCCGGAATTCATTTACCCCAATTCCTTTTTCCTCTTAGAAGCTTTGGTTAGGGTTTCAAACTTGGTCTCTTGGCAAGCCAGAGAAGAAGTTCAATCGACTCTTTTTTATTATTGCATTTTCAAATTTGCCAACTCATCTTGCTTTTGGATGTTGTGAGACTTAGGTTTCTCTATTGCAGCGTTTCCATCATTTCTTAAATTGGCTATCATTTCATTGTTCTCACCCCGAGTAGCACATCAGCTGAATTTGAGAAACTGCGGTAGAAAGTTCTGTTTTCTTTCGTAAGTTTGGTGTTTAGGGTTCGAATCATAAGTGAACGATTTCTTTTTGATTTTCTTGCTGAAGTAGGTTTCTTCAATTCAGCCTTCTCTTAATTCGTATCGTATTCGTTTATTCCTTTGTTTCTGATCGCGTGGTGTAGGTATTACGTTGCCAAGCATACTCATGGATCGAAATTTGTCCGGTTTTGAAGTATTTGTGTTTTGAAGTTCATCTCGGGAGGTGAAAGGCGCGTTCTTGAGGTGGGATGAATAGTGTCTTCAATGAAGAGATACTGGCGGACAAGCTTTCCAAGCTCAACAGCACCCAGCAGTGTATCGAAAGTATCCTCTTTCTGGTCCCTTTCTTTCAGCATTTTTGCTTTCTTGTTGTTTGAAAATTGCTTAAGAAATTTGTTGGTTGTTGGTTGCTTGTAGTGCTCCATTACAACAGTAGATAATTTAGCCATTCACTACTCAGATGACAAATTCACATAGTAGTTCTAGGGATATCTACTTCAGGAATTTTCTGTTGGAATTGTGGTTACTGTAAGCATTAGCAATGCATCCAGTGAAAGGCACTTAATTTTTGGACTTTGGTTATAGGCTCTTATGGAGGAACATCTACTCCAGACATCGTTTTTGTCTCAATTTTGTGACTTTTGTATTCCTTTTCTTTTCAAGATCTCAAGGATCATCGACTAATGTGAAGTTTTGAACTTTTGTCTTAAGAACCACAACCTTTTACTTTTGATAAGGGGCCACAGCACTATCACAAAGGAACATGGAAACAAGTTGGTTATAGCTGACTGGTTTTCCTTTTGATTGCTAGCCACCACTCTATTTCTTTTACTTTTATTATTGGAATAGGACAACAGACTATGGGATAATGTACAGGAGTACAGAGAAAAATATGTCAAGTTAAATGTCCAAATGTCCTAAGAAAGAGCGCAATTTTAACTTTTGATTTTTTTTTTTAGCTTTTTTTGTTATGCTGCCAACTTCGGGTGGACAACTAAAAACTAAACAATGTAAAATCTCATTAGGCCAGAACCGTTGTTCTATGCTGACCCCAGCCTGGGAAGGCTTTTTCTTTCCTTTTTTTTTTCTTTTTCTGAGAGCTCATTCTTGTGCAATGGGATCTCCTGCAAATAAAAACTCTGCACACACTCTTCAAGTGTGGGCATCCAGCTGCACATTGGTAAGATCTCCCTATGAATTTAACATTCATGTATGGAAGATATTCTAGATGTCTATCTGGATGACGTGTGCACAGAGTTTTTTGCTTGCACGAGATCTGGGCTCCATTCCTGTACCTGGCAACCAACCTGCAATATTTGGAAAGTCACAGCAGTAAAGCTGATCTTTCTGCTGTAAATTTTCTTTTACTGTTTTTCTTTGGCATCAGAATGGCAGAAGAAGTGTACTTTTTTTCATCCTTTGTATGCTCAAATAACCTATGTAATCTTTCATATATTCATTGTTGAGCTATTTCATTGATTTTTTTGATAACTATTCATTGATCTTTGATGTTAAATGATTATGTTATCTTAACTTTTCTATAGCACTGTCACATTGGTGTATCTTTCACCGGAACAAGGCAGAGTTGGTTGTAACAACATGGGATAAGCAGTTCCATAATTCACAGAAGGAGCGGAAAGTCCCATTTTTATATCTTGCCAATGACATTCTACAGAACAGCAAGCGCAAAGGAAATGAATTTGTTAACGAGTTTTGGAAGGTTCTTCCTGCAGCACTCAAGGATGTTATTGAGAATGGTGATGATCATGGAAAGAATGTGGTTTCTAGACTGGTACATTTCTTTGCTAAGAGCAACCTTTTTCTCAATGTGCAAAATTACCCCCACCCCCCAAAACACAAACACACAATTGAGATATTTCTTATACTGCTACTTAGTAAATAATTTGGATGTTTTGGATGCCTAGAAAATTGAGATATACTGTGCATCTTTTGGATGCCTAGAAAATTGAACTTTGGCTTAAGAATTTTCCCACTAAATGATTTTCTTAAAAATTGAGTAAAATGGTGACTTAGTAAGCTAATGCATTATTGATAGGTTGAAATCTGGGAAGAAAGGAAGGTATTTGGATATCGTGGGGGCCTTCGAGATTTGATGCTTACAAAGGAGACACCTCCTCCTTTGGAGTTGAGCAAAAAACGTTCATCGTCTGTTAGGATTGTACGGAGAGATTCACGCTCCATTAGAACAGTAAGAAGCAGAAATGTCATTCTCTCTCTTCTGTCTTATTTTGTTTGGCATTCATATATTACCTTTCTTTCAATTTCTCAGCAAGCTTGAGACATTGCTAATTGTGCAAGTGATGACTTGCAATCCAGAAATTGGCTATTGGTGGCACTGCAGAGAAAATAGTCTCAGCATTTCACGCTGTGCTTAATGAACATCCCAGTGAAGATGCAGATATGAAAAAATGCAAATCTTCTGTCCGACGTGTGAGGAAGGTGGAGAAAGATGTTGAAATTGTTTGTACTAAAGGTAAGTTGAAAATAATAAGAACTTGACTACTTAGAACTGATATTTTGTTTCAATGGTTATTTAGAAATCTTTTGTTCAAATGCGGAAATGCCTGTTCTGAATTTCCTACCATAAGATTCTTCAAGAACATTTCTCTTATTAACTATTAATTTCAGTGGAGGACCCAAAGCGTACAACCTTGGCTAATGAGCTAGAAGAAGAAGAGGCTATTTTGAAACAGTGCATTGAGAAACTTAAATCAGTTGAAACAACAAGGGCAGCTCTAGTATCTCAATTAAAAGAAGCACTACATGAGCAGGTGCAGATTTATGGATTGATTATTCTCATTGTTTAATGCAAATAAGTGAATTTAGAGATTCTACTTCTTGTCCACATTTTGAATTTAGAAGCTTATGGTATTCTCTAAACTCATTCCATGAATTTCTTCAGGAATCTGAACTGGAAAATGTTCGCACTCAATTGCAGGTATGTATATTTTTTCCTTACCTTTTCTGCCCCCACCTTCTGGTTGAAATTATTGCAAATAATATTGACTCAATCAATATCATGATATAGTTTAGCATCTTTCTCCCTATTCCTTTTGTGTATTCTTTTACATTAAATCTGAAATATGTAAGCTGTCACTTAAAACTCACCTTTGTGTTATTTACCAACTATTAAATGTTTTACACTTTTTTTTTCTGTTTAGCTTATTTAGTTTTTTAATATTACTCTTTATTATCTCCACTCGTGTATAGATTGGTGACTTTCACTAAGAAAATCAGTCAACTGATGCTTGTGTTTGCATGATGAGATCCGTTTTCTATACACTGTTGCCATGGATGGCAGTGAATATGCATTGCCACAGGAAAATATTACCCAATTAATAATGTCCATGGTGCATTTTGTATTGTACAAGCCAATGTGAAACAATATAGAAAATTTGAGATGAACATGAATATTTGAATTGAAGTTTCACATTAAAAAACAGTGCATTCACTATCTCTTTTCACTCTTATCTGGATTTTATTCAGCTTGATTGGACACACAGATCTTATTCATAGATTATAGTATTTTTTTTTTTTTTTTATTGGCAAAGGAAATTTCTTTGATAAGCCTCTGTAGAATATTATCAATAAATACTTCGACAATACAAACAAGGAGTCGTGGAACACTCCTCTATTTCCAGTAGATCCCAAAAGCCTTACCACATGAATGCTTGCTTAATTATAAAACAAAATTTTGAGGCCCCAGGAAAACAAGGGAATAGATTTTTAATTATGGAACACTCCTCTATTTCCAATAGATCCCAAAAGCTTTATCCATATGATTCCTAGTTTAATTATAGAACAAAAATTTGAAGCCCCAGGAACACAAGGAAATAGATTTCTTATCCTTTTCTCAGAAAACGGGAATAGATTTCTGTTAGAGCTTCAAGAAATTTTCTTATAAATTAATCTTTAGGGGATCTGTAAAAGATTTGACATAAGTAGAACATTGTTTGTTCCTTGAAATTGCAGATGTGGTAGAAATTGGCCAGCAATTTATCTTATAACTATATTGACTGTACAACCTGGAATCAGTTTTCTCTTTTCCTTTCTTTTTTTGGGAGGATTAACGACAACCTGCAATCAGTTAGAATAAATACTGCCAAAGGTTAGGTCTTTATCCCGTTTATTCTCCCAAGAATGGATAGCTGGATCTGGATTCAAAATATGTTGATTCCCTCTATAAAATTTAGATGGGATATTCTCATAGTTGTCAAGGCAACGCCTAGGCGACAAGGTGCCCTTTGAGGCTTGCCTCGCCTAATCACCAAGCAGTTTTGTACAATGTGTTGTAAAATACTTTTTTATTCTTTATTTTTTGACATTATAATTATAAAATAGGCACTATTAAACTAAAATATTCATTTTGTGTGTTTATATACTAATTTGTTTTTATTATTTTCTTATTTGTTAGGATTTAATCAATACAAACATTGCTAAATGCTGTATTGAACCCTCAAAGACTTTAAAACCTNAACTTGAAATTTTGTCTAATCAACACATTTTCTACTACTACTATAACACATTTTTTCTTTTCTTCTATTCCTATAACAAAAATAAGGGTTCAGCCCCTATATTTTTTGAATTTTCTTTTCCTTCTTTTTTTTCTTCTCATGAATATGTTGATTTTCTATACTTTAACATGAACTCTATACTTTCTTATGAAAATTATGAATAATTATTAAGGAAATATGGCTATGGTACCTAGGGAACTATCCTAGGATCTATGTTTTCTATATAAAAAAATCCATCGCCTAGGCGACAAGGCGCCCCCCTGATGCCCAGCCTCACCTTGGTGCCTTGAAAACTATGGATATTTTGTAATCCTTCTGAATCTGTAGTAGAAAATATGCCTCCTCAGTAGAGCTGTAGGGTCGTGCTGTCCACTGCCTGGAACGAAATTGGGCCGCACCGGCATGGCATGACACGATAGTGTGTGGGCTGTGCTGCCTGTGGTCCATGTGCCGGCATGGCCTGGCTTGGCCTAACACAACCCATATATATTATATGTATATTGTAATAATATAATAATATATAATATATAAAAAATTTTGTTTTCAATTTTATTATACTATCTCATTTTATTATTGCATATATAAACAATTGTATACATCTCTCATGGCTTGGCCCAGCCAGGCCCAAGACTCAGCCCACAGACCAGCCCAGCCCATGGCATGGCATGGGCCCACGTGGGCTAGGGCCGTGGGCCGTGCTGGGCTGGCCCCTTGAAGTATTCCAGAGGAGGGGAAGCACGACCCAGATCGGCCCGCCAAAAGCATGGCTTGACACATCCCGATTTACACCTCTACTCAGGTTGGATAGGAGATTGAAGAAGCGTTAAAAGGGCCCAATTTTAGGTGTAGATGAATGCCTGGCCTTTGGGATCAGTAAATTCTCTTCATTTTTTCCAGGAATGTCTGGCCTTTGGGATCAGTAAATTCTCTTCATTTTTTCCAGGAATGTTGGGACACTATCATCGTAACCGGGAAGACCTGTGCTCGGACTTTTTTTGAAGTTTTATTATAAAAAAAAAGAATATAACTTGCATCATTTTAATCTTAAGAGGGAGATTCCATTGAACTTGAAGATTCATGGTGAATGATTTTTCTTGGGAGCATATAATAGCTAATGTCCTATATGTTTGGTACTTTGGTTAAAGGTTTTCGTATGTGAGAAATCTTTCTTCAGAAGGAATCACCCTGATGAAGAGGTGCATTTTGGATGGCATCTCGGTATGGAGAAAAATAGGAGGAACAGATGAATCAAAATAAGGACTTGGTTGTGTTTTTCCTTTTGATGAAATTGGGAAGGGAATGAAGAATCAAGATTTATCTTAACATTTTTGGTCAAAGAGAGGCAAGGTTTTCTGAAAATCCTTTCCCTTGGATGTTTGTTGGTCTCTGTGGAATGAAAGAAATGCTTGGATTTTTTAAGGCAAATCTGTCCCAATTCAGGCTCTTATGAAGATCAAGTGGTAGGGGGGGAGTTCTGATGTTTTTTGAGGATGTTTCCATTGATCAATTCAGAAATCACTGGAGGAGTATTATTATTTGACAAGAGTAAATCCTTGGAATCATTGTTTATAAAGTGCATACAGTTGGACATGTGATAGTTTTTGTATAGCTTGAGGGGCTCTTTTCCTCATCAGAAAGAAGGAAATTGTTTATGACTGGGTGATTTGCCCTGCATTTATTTCATCTTTGTTTTTCTACCAATTTTTTCCATTATAGTGGGTCTGACTCAAGATTGAGACAAGGGATAAGGGGATATTTGGAATCATTGTACAGTCGCCATCCCCAATGCCAGATGCTCTTGGCTTAGCTTCAAGTAGAAAGTAATTGGCCCTTCATAGGGGCATGAGGGAGGTGGAGTCAGGAAAGGTTCCAAGGAAACATCTCCATTTTCTTGATGATACTTGGTTTAAGTTGTATAAAACTTATTGGAGTTTCATTTTTGTGGTGGGCAATGAGTTTGCCAAGTGACAACATGTGAAAATCTCCTGTTTAGTTTGGATGGTTGTTTTTATAGATGTGTTAAAGTAGATTTAGATGTTGAGAAGGTGCAAATTTTGTTCATGTTTTGATTGGGATATTTCAAGGTGTTCTTAAGACAAAAGTTTGCGTGGTTGATGATGTGAGTTGCCTTTATGCTTTTCTTTCTAGCACCTTCTGCTAGTCTCCATTTCAGCACTAGGTTCACGCCTCATCTACTGCTCTCCAGTTGGATTGCCCCTGCCTCTTTTATATTGATTTGGTTCACTTATACTTTACTTTTCAAATTGAACATGTAGCAAGCTAGGTTCACTTTGACCTGTGAATCTAGAAATCTGTCCAAGAAACCAACTTTTTTTTTTTGTTTTTATATGGGGATACAGAAGGAAACACTAGAAAAACTGAGATGAGCGTGGATAGGAATTAGGAAGTGTATATCGATCTCATAAATGTACAAGGAATACTAAATTTAATGCTTAATGATTATCGACAAGGTGTAAAATTTGTAGGAAAAATATTTTACTAAGGCTGTGTTTGGTTTGAAGGAAAAAGTAGGAAGGGAAGGGAAAAGTAGGGAAACCTTTACAAACCTTGTATAGGTTTCCTTACCTTTCCCTTCCTTTCCCTACCTTTTCCTTCAAACCAAACATAGCCTAATATTAGATGTAATAGCAAGCTATACGATATGCAAACAGTAAATATTTAAATAAAGAAGTCATGCTGCCCTGCTGAGCTTTTTGATAAGTTTAAACAAAAGTTACAAAAGATTGGAATGGGTATTGTGAGGTTACATACTTTGACCATGCTGTAATCAAACCATTTCCCTTTGTTTCCCTACTTTTGTCTGTTATCAATTGATACAGTTTGATACAAGGTGATACAGAGGTATGGTCAAGGAATGGGAAAACATATAGGTTCATTGGGACTGTGAAGCCCAACTGTCGAGATTTAATACCTTAAAGGTAAGGTTTGGCTGAAGCTTGAAACATGTTGGATGTTGTCCCCTTTTTCAACTTGTCAATCCAAATTGCGGACACTGGACAAGAATGAAACTATCTGTTTTATTTGGAACAATTCTCTTGGACTTGTGGCTTTATTAGAAGATGGAAAATGCAGTGCCAAAGAGATTGTCACATCTCACCAATTGTGAAATCACTTGGGAGTTATCAATAAAGAAATAAAAATGTAAATTCACTACTAAAGAAGATGTGTTTCATCAATAGATTTCCCTTAATTAGCAATCGTTAATGCCAGTGCCTAATGTTTTTTCCCCATCATTTTTCCTGATTAGGTGGCACAGGCTCAGGCAGAAGAAGCTAGCAGTATGCGAAAGCGGCTCAGAAACGAAAATGATGGTGCAGCCTCCAATCCTTCATTGCCAACTTCAAATTCACAAGCAGAATCAAATACAAAAGCCGGGGAAACACCTAAGAGGACAGTTGCAGCCATTGCAGCTGAGGTTGCAGACAAGTTAGCAGCATCTACCTCATCGCAAATGATCATGACTTCAGTTCTCTCAACCTTTGCAGCTGAGGAGGCAAAGAATGCTGGTTTGGCAACTGGGGCACCACAGTCTAATAATACATCTTCTAACATGCCAGCAAATTCGTTTTCTGAGTCAAGACCAAAACTTGAAAAGCCTATGCCGATTTCAAATGCTAATGTTTATATTGCTGCACAACAGCCTTCTGGTGCATTAAGACATCAGTATCAAACGGTTATGGTACAACCTTCCACACATGCCCAAGCTTCGACTTCCCAAGTGCAATATCATCATGTACTTCCAAGCCAACCTTCCCAACAGTATTTACAACCATCTGGAAGTGTTATGACTGGAGTGCCTTATGGATATGGCTACCCACCCCCACCACCCCCGGCACCACCACACATGATGAATCTGGCAGCACCATTAGTTCAGCAACAGCCAGTGCCACTAACTCAGCAACAACCAATTGTGATGACTCACCAACCCCAAGCACATTCTAGTTTTAGCTCACTTCAACCGCCAGGAATGGTGTATTACATTCACCCTCATCAACCTCAGTGACACCGAGTACTTTCAAGTAGGCAAATATCCCTCCAGTTGTGTAAACAATTCATTTTTTTCAATAGAAGCAAATTTTTGAAGAACCCTGAGAAATTCTGTGCAAATTGGCTGGATGTTGATACCGGAGCTGTTCCTTTTTCTCGTTCAGTCTGAAGTCTGAACCAGAATCAGAAGTTATGGAGGATCTTATTGTGTTTCCTCAACCATCTTCACTGTTCTCATCATCTTGGTCTTTATCTTTTATCACTAATTTTACCTGAGAGGTGGTGGTTTAGAAGCTGTACAATGGAGTGCTACAAAATTGATGGAAGAAAACAGTGTTACCTTTTTTCACAAATAAATTCACTAGATTTTTTGTGGCGAAATCATCTTTGCTGCCCGGATCTTGAAATCTAACCCAATCTATTGCAATGCCTTTTCTGAAAGAAAATGTTGTAATTTGTAATTTGAATTAAGGTTTTGCAAAATAGATAAATAAATAATCCAATATGCCTAAACTTATTAAGACAGCAATTTGTAACACCGCAATTCTTTAGGCATGGATTCCAACTCCCAACTCTATGCTGGGCTATATCCCATGTGGGCCTGCCTGTTGTAAATGCTGTTATTAGAGGTGTAGACAAATTTGAATAAATGAGAAGAATCTCACCTGAACTATATATTCAAGCATTTCAATTGTCTCTCTGATCTGAGTTAGTAGTTCATCCCTTCTTTTTCTTTTCTATTTTGTTTTGGTACTTGTATAAGTTTACATTGAACCCCACAATCAGGTAGCTAAAAGAGTTAAAACAGAGGGTTGAGAGGAATGTCAAGATGAAACATTAGCTCAACCATGAGTGAGCAACCCCTTCATTCATGGTGGGAGGAAGAAACAAGATCATGTATACTAGACTCAGCGTCTAGCTTGATTAACTTGGTATTGATATGCACCTGTACAAGTGCTTTCAAACGTTTAACCATTTATTCTAGATATCATCAAAACAATCCCATAAAATTACAATCAAATAGCTTATTCGTTACTAAACATGAATAAAAACATACTTGCAAGGGTAGAATTCCTGATGATAGAAGTGACAAATGGCTTCTCACTCCGTGAAGCTTCTTCACCCAAAACATCCCCGTCAGATATCTCTTTGTATTCTCTGTCGCAAGTCCTTGTGGAAAAACTTTATGTGAACCTCATATACCACTTTAGGCTCAGTTTGGAAGGAGTATAAATACAAATATATACAAAATAATACAAAATACAAGAGTGTCTGGATCTCCTGCCCACGAGAATTCTGCCCACGTTTATTGGAGTCACACATGGAGAACATCTCATCCTCTGCATAGTATTATGCAGGGGGAGACGTTCCCAATTCACGGGGGTAGTGCAATACAAGGTTTTGCACCCTATGTATTTGTATTTATATTATATACTCTTTCCAAACTGAGCCGTAAGTACATCAAGAAAGAATGTATCTAACCTTGAAGGTGGTAATCCTGTCTGCATGCAAAATTTCCAACTCTGAATCCTAATTTGAGCACATTATGTAAGTATTTGTTAACAGCTAGAAAAACGAGTAGACTGAAATGTAGAGGTTACACAACTTAATCCATAAACTCATCAAGATCAACCTCTTGATTGGTTGCAGAAGATTTTTTTTTTTTTGAGCTAGCAACTCCTGTAGGATCTGACAAGAAATTTAGACGATAAAGTTAGATTCAATCATAATTAGTGTAAAGGGCCCAGCGGCACATGCATTTACATTAATTGGAAATTCATTCAAGGAAAAATAAAATAGAGAGCAAAAACAAGGATACAGAAAATCTGGATTGCACTAGCAAAATAAAAATGGCAAAGCTCCTTGCTTCACTAATAATGCACAAATTTTGGGATTCCTAGTATACTATGATGAAATGAAAACCAAATTAGGAGAAAATGTTATATCTTCCGATGGATCATTTAACATTTACACAAAGTGACACGGCATGGATACAGATAGTTATGAAGATCAATAATTCTTACACCTCTTTTCTCATAACTGAGTTTCTCTTCTCAAAACCCTGACAATAGGTCCAAAAGAGCCTCTTTTGAGTGCTATACTACTCAGCTCTCTCTTTACTCTTTCACTTAAATCTTATAGAGCCAGAATGGTCTTTGCATCGTTTTGCCTTTTGATGCACCACCACTGAACAATGGTCAATCAACCCAATTTCATCATCCACTAGAGGTTTTCAGAATTTTCTTTTCACTGATCTAAAAAAGATTTGGTAAGAGAACAGGGAACCGCCATAACTTGGTTTGAACTCAAAAAAGAGACCCTGAAAAAGGTGTTACCATCAGCTATTTTGGATCTCAAATGACAGAACACAATTTCCCTAGAAAACCAGTAGAAAGATCATTCTCATAACCTGTACTGAAAACCCCAAAAATTCATTTTGGAATACTGCAATCTGCAGAACCGTCATATTCAATGGGAGGATAGATGACAACAACACCAAAGATAGAAGCGACGAAAGCGCATCTAATGAGACAGAACACATGATGAAGAAAGTAAATCGGCTGATGAAATAAAAGACAGATTTTGTTTTTACCAGAAATAGAGAGAGAAGAGTATAAAAACAAACAGCAGAAATCAGTAATCACATAAAGAGGAGAGTGGAACATACTCTTTTATATAATCCCGAGCTGCCGCAGCCATTACATTTCCACATGCTATCTTGGTTTGTGTGTGCTGGGTCCCAAGGTTTGGAATGAGGTGGGGCGACGGGAAAAACTGCAAGCATGAGAGATATCAAACATGAAAATAGGAAATCAATCTGTGGATGTGTACGGTATACAAAGCAAATGGGATTGTATTTGATTTTGCCCATTAGTCCGTTTTGATGGTATCTAACCAGATTTTGTTGCCTATCCAAATAAACCGAAAAAAAAAAACAGATTTTGTTACCATAATTAACGGAAAAGTGCGGCAAATATCATTTGCAGGAAATAAAATAATGAAAGACCGAAACAAATAGAGGCTTTTACTGTTCGGTCTATTCCCAGAAATTCTAGCTTCAGTTTGGCGGTAGGTGTCAGATCCAAATTGATACTAATTTACGGGCGGATACGAATTTTATAGATAGAATTGTTTATAATTTTAAATTATTATAGATTTATAGTCTAAAATTCCCAAACAAAATAAGAATTTGCAAACTTTTAGAATTCCCTAATGAGTTGGGATCTTCTGCCAATAAAACACCTTCCAAGCCTCTATCAACTTGATCTAACACCTCACATATCACCATGAGACCATAAATGTGGTGTTAGATCAAGTTAGTAGAGGGTTGGAAGGTATATTGTTAGCAGGTGATCCGGACTCTTCCCTGCTCGATTAGAATATAAACTAGAGCTAAGAGTCTAAGACGAATCTTGAAATCCAGTTTGATTTTAACACATTTTCCACGATTTAAGAGCAAAATGTATCTACGACTACGAGAGGTCCAAGTCAGACTTATCATTTTTCTTTCACATGAGCAACTAAATAGTAACAACATGATGTTTCAAGGTTGAACCTAAAAGCTTTAAGCATTGGGGGTCTCACTCAGCCTAAAAGCTTAAGCATTTTCCTCGTTATGAAAATAGCCGGTTTGAAGGGATGACGTTGATGGTAAATAGCAGATTACTATACTTGTTTTTGGGTGGGCGGGAGGTCTCACTTTAATATGAACTAGTAAAAGTGTACACGTGTTGCACATGGTAATATCAAATGATGATAATGATAACAATCAACAATCAAATGATCTTACTGGTTGAACCATTAACCTATTTAACCCAGAAAATGGACTATGATTAAAACATTAATTCATTTTTTTCTTTGTATTTTAGCCATTTCTATCTTTACTAACAATAATTCTTATTTTTCAAACATATTTTTGTTTAATATGAAGAATACATAATTTAATGCATGTTCAAAATTTTCTATAAAATTTATAAAAATTATGTATTTTTATTTTTTATTATTTAATTTATGAGATAATAAAAATTACTTATTTATCAAGAGGAAATGCAATTCTAATATATTGTTTGAACATTGGTTTTTAATATTGTGGTCAAATCAATTATTTATATATATAGTATATATAATATATATGTTATTTATTATTTATTTATAAATATGTTATTTATATTACATTTTTGTAAACTTTTTATATGATGGAAATAGTTGAAAAACTACTTATGTTTTTTGTTTTTTTTTTTAATTCAACTGTTATGTTTTCCTTTTTCTTGTAATAATTCATTACTTTTATAAAAAAACTAAATCGGATCATATCATATTTGAATACCTAACATGTTGATCGGATTTGGATTTGAATCAATATTTATGAGATCCAGTCGAATCTTTAGATTAGATCAGATTTGAATATACCCTAATTTAAATCTGATATGATCTATTTGTATCCCTACCAAACCATTTTATCCATTTGACATGGTTAGTCGGGTTATGTGTTAAACATTAATGCTCTTTATTTTTTATCCTAATTTTTATCCAATTTTTTCATTAATGAAAATAATTCTCATTGATTACACATTTTTATATGATGAATATATAATATTATAAAATGTATCCAAAATTATCGATAACTTTCTACATTTTCTAGAATTTTATGTATTTTATTATTTAATAATAACATCCACTTGACATGGATAGTTTAACCACTAACCCATCACTTGGATGAAAAAACCATTTTGCTTTTTTAGTTGATTTTAAATCATGTATTCCATTTTCATCATTGATAAAAGTAATTCTTATTTTCACATTTATTTTTGTTTAATATGGTGATGATATAACAACAGAGTTGTATCAATATGCTTTATACAAAGCTTTCTTTTTTGAGTTTATATGTATGTATGTATGTATGTATGTATGCATGCATTTAATATTCGTTACTTAGTTATGACATCATAGATTAACCCATTTGACCCGAAATGTTAGATCATTGACTTATCTACCATCCAAATATGGAAATTGTTTCATTTTAATATTGGTTTTAAATTTTGTATTTCATTTATATCAATGATAAAATAATTATTATTTATCATACTTATTTTTGTTTATATTATTAGTATATAATATTATAGATGTGCCCAAAATTGTTTCATGTTTTTTTTGTACTATTCTATTTTAAAAAAAAATTATTTTTAATTATCATGGGTTAATCTATTTGACCTGAAAGGTTGAACTACTAATCCACCCTCTAATTAGGAGGATGGTTTAATTTCCCATCAATTTTAAGTTGTATATTTGATGTCCACCATTAATAAAATTATGTCTATTTTATCATAGTTATTTTTAATATGAAAAATATATAATAATAGAAACTATCCAATTTTTTTTTCTATATTTTTTGTATTTTTTATATTTCTAAATTTGTCTTAATTATTTATGACATCATGAAATCATCCATTTGACCCAAATGGTTTAAGTACTTACTCACAACTTAGATGGAAAATATGATTTCATTTCTAAGTTTATTTTAAAACTATAAAATTTCATTCTATTAATAATTATTGTGTATGGATTTATTACTGGAATTTAATGATGATAAACAAAAGCATTTTTTATATTTCTAAATTTGTATTATTTATTTATGACATCATGAAATTATCCATTTGACCCAAATGTTTGAAGTACTTACCCACGACGTAGATGAAAAATATGATTTCATTTCTATGTTTATTTTAAAAATATAAAATTTCATTATATTAATAATTATTGTGTATGGATTTATTAGTAGAATTTAATGACTTAAATGTAGGATTTAATGGGAGGTAATTGCATGTACTTAATGGTATTCTTTTAATTACATTTTCTTCCCTTTCAATGAAGATGAACTAAATTCAAGAGGAGGGGTATTTCAATAAAGAAAAATTCCATAAGCCAATACTTCCTCATTCACACTTCTATAAGTAGTATAGATTTAGATTAGTTGAACATTTTAACTATGTAGCGGTCGGGCTGTGGAATCAATGGGGCCCACAGCCTCGTGTATTTTATCACCGGGATGGAATGTTAAGAATTTGGCTTTTGTCCAGGCACCCTCCAGCTAGGGCACCGTTCGTGCATTGGAGGACGCACCACGCATCCTCCAATTCGTGTAAGCGGTTGAAGCATGCGAGGATGCTTCACACTATTTGTTAAGCAAAACCCATTTTTTTTCGAGTACCCTCCTCTCCTCTTCTCTTCTCATCCACCCAGTGGTGACTTAACATCCATTACCGCCGGCGACAAACAATCATCACCAGCGGATGGATCAACCTAGGTATTGTCTTCTTTACATCTCTTCTTCTTCAATGAAAACTAACCCTAAGCATTTTAGATGGCAGCCATCATCACAAGATACCGGCATCCGACAACCATTACTAGCGACCAAAGGTCTCTTCTCCCTCTCTCTCCCCCCATCCACCCGGCGGCGACTTAACTTACTAGACCGGTGATGATGACAGAGGAGTAGGGTAAATCTCGACTAAGGTGAATCAGATTAGAAAATGGGAGGGGTTGTCGTTGTTAATTCCCACTGCTGTTGTTGGTCCCAATCGTATTTCGGCCTAGGTTCAATGCTTGCACCCGTCGCCTCCTGATGGAGGGATAAAAGCTGATCAAAGTGTTGTTGCTGGTCTACCGCCGCTATGCTTTGTCTTGAACAGAGGAGTATTCCAGATCTCGGTAGTGACGAAACAGAGAACGGAAGAAGAGGAAAAGAGAGAGAAAGAGAAAGAAAGGATGAGAGGCTAGAGGTGGAGGTGTGAAATAGGAAAGAATCCACCGCTGTCAAGGAAGAGGAGAGGAGAGACCGGAGAGTACTAAAAAAAAATGGGTTTTGCTTAACTAACAGCGTGAAACATCCCTTGCATGCTTCAACCATTTACACAAATTGGAGGATGTATGGCACGTCCTCCAATTGCGCAAATGGTGCCCTAACTGAGGGCACCTGGACTGATGCCAAACTCGAGTATTATTACTAGGGCCGGTGTATTTTAACACTGGGGTGGAGTATTATAATTATTGGTTCTACAGTCTGCAGAACATCTTGTCCAATCCTATATCCCTTTAATACCCGTTTCACTTCGGTATTTGAACTTTGAAAAGTGACATACTGACATTGGTACTGATGAAGGGTGATGATGAGAGTAGAATTTATCATATTTTTATCCCCAAATATTTTGTCTTTCATACTGAATTAGTACTTAATTGGACTCATATTTGTTGTATTTCGGTTCAGGGCATGAAAGAAGGCATCAGAAGCAAAGAAAGGCAAATCGGATGATTTTTCACAGTTTCGGCATCATTCAGTAATTTGGGCCTAACTCGCGTACCCGAACTCCGATTGGGCTGATTCAAGACCCACTGAAAAGATAAAAGAAAAAGCCACAATTTTCATGTTTTGGGCTTTCGCAGATTCGGCCTGCATAGAAGTAAAATCTGGGCCCAAAGTCAGGGAATATTCGTAGGAATGCCTAATCCGCAGCTGAAGCCCAACTTGCAGAAAAGCTTGGCAGCAACCCAATTCGCAGAGGTCTAATACGAATCCAAGAACAAGAAACTGAGAAGAGTCTTTGCAAATCTAAATTCTTGATATAATCTTAGAAAGATAATGGGATTGAGTTCACTAGATAAAGAGATAAGAGTAGGATTAGACTAGGACTTTCTATTCTTGCAAGATAAACTTCAAGAGGAAGTAGGAGACCACCCCCTCCCCTTTAAACTATATAAAGGTGGGGGGCAGACCAGCTTTAGGCATCACTCAATCTCTGGGTTGAATCAAGAAGCAAAGGGGCAATCAATCAAGAAGGGAGAAAACAAAACAAGAAACTTGGGGAAGGTGATCAAGAATTCAAGAAACCTCAAGAAGAAGGT